TAACACTCCTGCTAAAGATATATTTCTAGAAGTCATATACAGTTAGAACTGTGGGTTAAAAAAATGTGTATATATATATATATAGACTCCAAATCCCATAAGATTTCAAGTGCTTTTAGAACTTCTTTTCAGAATTGGGTTTGCAATAGTAAGCTTTTTTCTAAAAGTCACTGCATGCTTTCTGAATTTAACAGCACATCAATGTTTTACAACAAATTTTAATCCTTGCTGGAAGCAGAGTATGTGTAAAAGGCTTTAAAAAAAAAAAAAAAGTTAGGCACTTGCAGGCACTTGGTTACAGCTTGTCAAAAGCTTATCTGAACTTGTAAATCCTTTGAGATTTCCCTTTCACCATAGGTTTTAACTCTACCTCAGTGTCGGTATAAGCTTTTGGTGCAAGTATGAGGGAAATAGAAAGTATTTGAACTTAAAGGCAAATATCTAATTAATAACTTTGTATAAGATTCTTCCATTCCCCTTCATCAGATTTTTTTTGTGCTGAAAGCACGAAGTGCTCAGTCTGACAACCAGTGAAGCTGGTAATGCACCAGGTTCTTAAGTGAATGATGCTACTTCCATAAGCCTCCAGTCTTCAGAGAAACTGGAAACATTTTCTTAGGTGAAAAAATATTTTATTAATATTGTTTGGTTAGAGTCTCATTTTCTTCACTTTGATGCAACCCCCCCTCCATTTTGGAGTATTAAATCTAGAATGCTAGGGCAGTCATTAAACTGGCTGGTAGGAGGCAAAACTAACTTGCACTAAGTTTGTTTCAGAGGTCACAAAACACATAAGCTGATATCTCCCTCTTGCTGGTCTTGAAAATAAATTGTAACTTTTAAACTATTTGATCTGATTTATGAAAACTTTAACTTTTATCAACTGATATAATTAATCAGAAGTTATGTCAAATAGTAAGGAATTTTATTTTCCTATGGTAACTTTTTTTTTTTAAATCATTTAAGTGGATGGGGTAGGATTAGAAAATACCAAAGCAGAATACTTAGAATACTTACCACATGAAGAATTTTATTTTCTGTTTCATACACCGTACAATCCTTCAGTAAAAGAAAACAAAATAAATTAATACACATTATTTTAAATTTCCTATTAAGAAAAGAATGCTTTATGCTGATAACTATTTCTTACAGATGTACCTGTAAAGACAAACGATCTCTTGGGTTTTCTCATGTCCAAAAGGTTACTTTACAGTCTTAAATCTTGACTTCTCTTGTGGCTGTTTAACCTGAGGGATCTATTCTTCCCTTTAACAGTCATTAAACTCTCCTGCTTAATACTAGCAACAATATAGACATAAGGCAGAGGGGATAGATTCGTGATAGTGAGAAAAAAGTAATTGATTATGATTCATCTGGCATGTCAGAAATTCAATGATGCACAGAGAGAGATACATTGCCTAACCTTAAATGAGGCAGAATGTTTGTTAGCTGTTCTACAAGTTGTGTGGGGTGCAGGCAGTTGTGTCAGACCTACCACTAGGTAGACTGGGTTACTATAAGCATGGAAAGGAAGAGTAAACAAAGAATATTTTGACAAGTACAATGCTGAAGAGGTTAAACATGGTGTGTTCACACTATCAGTCTAGTTCGGTCCCATCTCTTGAGAGGTCACCTAACTGCTCTAGCTTTGGACTTGGGAAGGCACAAGTCACACCAGAACAGAATGAGAAAGGACATGGCCTTGCTCATGTTTAGCACAGGTCCAGGGATTTGCAGGGGGTTCCACTGCTTTAAGGCCTCCCAAAGAACAACTCCATCCCAGCTTTCCAATACACAACATTCTCATTAACCACTTTAAATTAGGCTTGAAAAAAACATATTCCTGGTCAACTTCTTTATTTGCTTAAGACCTGTAACTCCTCGAGCTAGTCATTTTCCTATTTTAGTTATCATTTTAAGAACAATAAATCTTCTCACTACATAGCTCGAGTCATTACTCCCTTAACTTGCATTTTGATTTAGTGATATTACTTTTACTTCATGAAAGCAAGCACACAAATTCCTAAAAGAGATCTACTGCTTTTTAATGTTTTGAAGATTTCCTCAGTATGTTCCTCTATAAAACAAGACACAGTGATGACAAGACAGTAATTAACCCTTTCCTGCAGGAGCGGGCCCAAGCGCCCTGAGGCAGCTCTACCCCGCTCTCCTCCTGCCTGTCAGCACTCCAAATCGCCACACAGGCTATCAAACTGTATTTTACTAAAACATAGAATTAAAAAACCCCATAAACATACAAAAAACCTCAAGTTTGCCAGACAGAGTGAGATTAGAGTGCCTCAAAATCTTGGTCAGCTCTGAGGCCAGCCGCAGGCAGGGGCACAGCCTCCACGGCCAGGCTCCATCACCCCTCAGCCCCTGCCCACCGCACTCCTACACGGTGAACACCAGCCTGCGGCACTGACCAGTCATCAAAGGGATGATTTTCTGTCACAAAATCTGAGGAGAAAATATTTCTGTGGTATCCCGGCATCTCCCTGAGCTCCGGGAGACTGACAGCCCCAGCCTGAGGTTGGCGGGAGCCCCGGAGCCCTGTGAGGGAGGGAGCGAGGAGCTTGCCACAAAACCTGCTGAGGACCAGGCAGGTGGGATCCTCACCTTGCAGGGGCCTTGTTTGGCGTAGGAACCTTGTCTATAATGTCATCCTGGCACTGGTTATTTACATTTAAGTGAATTAGTGGTTAACAACAGGAAAATCATGTTGGGAAATTGCTAAATACTTCTCCAAATGCTATGTTACATTGGAAAAAAAGCTTTCCACAAAGCAAGATAAGGATTTCAGGACATATTTTTGAAGATAAGGATATGACAAGTAAAAAAACCCAACAAACCAAAAACCCCTGTCTTGTTTTCTTGTCTCTTTTCCTTGAAAAAGTTTTCAAATAAAATTTAACTTACTGATATACTTAAAAGATTCCATCAAGTAACTTATGATTCCCTATAATTCTCAACTTTTCCTCATTCCTGGATGTGAACATGTTAGCAATAAACTTCCCATGAAATAATTCCAACATCCTCACTCCATTTGCTCTAGAAGCAAATTAGTTATATGATCAGCTTAGCCTGTGAGAGAAATATTGCTCTTTGTGAGAGAAACAGCAGCTCATTGGCAGATCTCTGCTCTTGTCCAGCAGCAAAACCCCTCAGCTATGTCCCGTCCGCCGAGGCCATGTCCAGCTCTCAAACCTTCTTCCTTGGGTGCTGCTTTGGGGACCTTGTCCCTCAGCCCATCCAAGGCTGCTGCAGAGCACTCAGCCCTGGGAACAGGGAACTGTCACACCCTCAGCTCTAAGGGTTACGTTTATTTTGGAGGACTGGAATGAATTTTTAAGTGAATTCAGATTAAAGAATTTTGTTACAGAACAAGAAAGTTAAAATCAGAAGATTGTGAGTACCAAGGAACACAGAGAAGAATTTATATTAGCATTTCATGGTCAAGTATCCCTTTGATGTTTCTTCTGTATTCACACTGTTATTTTCTATAGCACAAAAAAAAAAAAAAGAATTAATTTAGTCAGTTTGCTTGGCAATGCCCAAGGCAGTTTTTCCTACAAATTTTAAACACTTCAAACAGCACATCCACCATCTCCTTTTAACCCTCCAAATACCAAGACGACAAAATGATCACAGCAGGGTTTGCAACTTAACTTCAGAGCTAACGCTCCTTTTAAAATTATTTCTTTAATTTCTGTGCTAGAAGTACAATATGAGCTTCATTCTGAACAAACTTAATTACTTCAGGTCAAAAAATAGAGGACTTGTGAGTAGTAAAACTGAAATTTCACTGGTTTGTAGAGCAGAATTAATGTTAGCTATACTTATGTTGCACATTCAAGATTATATTAGCATTAAAAATGTTAATGGCTTTGGGACTCCTTCCAACATAGATGCATATTGACTCTTTTTTTAAAAAAATACATCAGACGAGTTTAACTGAGAGGTTAAAAGCACTTGCAATATTATACTACAATATTAAGATATGTAGGTCACAATATTCTTCTGATTTATTTTTCTCTGATACATAGCAATGCCCTAGGGACCTCATTAAAAAAAAAATCTTCCAGGGACTACCATTTATAGAATGTTGATTTATTTTTCTTAGAAAATAAATAATAGTTATAATTACATTATTTCTACACATCCATAAGGAGGATAACATGTTAAAAATATTTTTTCTGAAGAGTTTAAAAAACTCTTAAAAACTAGTAGCTACATTCTATTTCCCCTCAGTAAAATTGTAAAATACAGGAATTACAAAAATATTCCCGGCAGCAGTATTATGTACTGCTTACATACAGCCAGCTTCTGTATTTTTCAGAACACCCTACTTTTCAAAGGTACAGTACACCCTCATAACTCTGATAAACTAAAGCAGCATTCTTTTGAGTATTCATAAAGAGAAAAGGTCAGTAGGGCTTGTGCTCACCCACATTATATTAATAATTCTAGTTTATAATTCTGAAAGAAAAAAATGCAAGTACTATTGAAATTTGCAGCTAAAATGAATAATGTTCTATGAAAAGTCTTGAGGACAGTTAACTAACACATAAAAATACTAATACATGTAAAATATTTAGTTCATTAATTTAGTACAGTAAACCAGCATGCGTTAAGCAAACACTGAAAAGAAAGAGTCCCTATAAAGGAGCAGCTCAGAAGAGAACTTAAAACCTTGTTTTGTTTGTCAGTTGAATGGCATTTCCCGATATAACACTGCAGTAAAGATCTACTGCAGCCTTGGAAAGGTGGATATGACAAAATGATATTTAAACATATACTACTTGCATACATAAAATCAAATGCTCTTCTGGAATTCATACACTAAAAAGAACAAGATTGCTTTGAAATTTGGCAAATATACACCAATGTAACTTATTTTACTTGGTTTAATTAAGGTAAAGACTTGATCATAATTTATATTTAGAAAACAGCGAACAGATGTTTGATAACAAAATGTTCTTTAGAAAATGCAAGCAAAATAAGATTGAGGGGCTGAAAGCTGAAGTCTGCAAAGTTCAACCTGAAAATAACACCCACGTTTTTAATGGCAGTTGCTGAATCACAGGATAGTTCAGGTGGAAGGGATCCCTGGAGGATATCTAGCCCAACTACCAGCTCAGAGGAGGGCTAACTTAAGAGTTACACCAGGTCCTGGCAACCATTTCTATCAATTGCAGTATGAACCACATAGCTTTAAAAAAAACCACATGCATCATCCTGAACGCAAAGTATTTGACTAAAACCAGGGTAAAAATCAGTGCTATGGTCTCTGAATTTATCTCATTGAGGTTAACTAACGTTAATAAAGGGGAGAACAAGCAAAATTTTGTTTGGCCTTTGTTGGAAAAAAATTAAGCTGATCTGTGCTGATATTCTCTGGTAAGACACAGACAAACTTTTTGTTTCGAGAACATTTGTTCATGCAGTTTAATGCTTATGTCAAAAGTATCCAGCACAGGTTTGAACATCTTCGACATAATCAGGAAAAAAAAAAAAAAAGAGAAAACCAACTTCTACTAGAACTAGTGAACTCTCTACTCAATGAAAAATTAACCAATGGCTATATTTTATGAACAAAATTCCAAACCTATTCTTCCCCATTTATTCCAGTTATCTTTCCCCCAGGGTAGCCTTGACACTATAGCATGACCAAATCCAAATTCAGTTAAGTTAGGCTGGTGGATTCATTTTCAGAGCGAAAATGAGAGCTAGTCTACCTTGCAGCTAGAGCTATACTTCAAAATGAAGTCAACAGAGAGCTCAGACACTTGCAATACTCTGATCTAACGTGCTTTTTTTGGACATTATAATCAACACATTTTGATGGGACACAGCACCTCAAAATCAGGATGTTTCTGCAGCTTTCTGCATAATGCTAGTCTTTTATCGTTTCCCTACTTATTTTAGTGAAGGTGAGATTGTGAGGGATAAGAAAAGAGAGCAGAATAAAATACATTGCCAAGTATAAATGGGCAGGTATAAAACTCCTCTAAAACTAGAGAATAAAGATCAACGATCTTATGACCAGTATGAGAAAACACTGTTTATGAATAAATGAGTGACTGCTTATTCATCATAGCATTGACGTGGTATGTAAATAACAATACCCAACATTGCAGTCCATCTGTTTGGTTTACATTTTGAATGAAGGTTTCATTTTCACACTTATACAAAGAATATGACTTAAAAGCTAAAAAATCTACTTCCTTATTAGATCTAAGGGTATGTCACTCAGATACATCCTAGCAAGAAGATTCATAAGCAGTGTTTATATTCAACTAACATTACATAGTAATGCCCCCTATCTAGAAGGAATTTCAGCCTGAGTGGCAGCTTTAGGTTACGCACACAAAGCATGTTCATTTTGCACAGAATAAATCTTCAGGTTGGAGACATTCCTCACTTAATGTGCCAAATGCACAGCCTTGACTACTATTTCCACACTGACTATATTAGATATCTAAAATTTATATCATTCATAAAACAAGGGGTATCTGAGAGGATCTGAGATCTAGGTTTCTATTAGTTATGCCTTTCAATTAATATTTTAGCCTACAGTTATGACTGCAATTCTGGTTTAGGTGAGACATTTCCGCTTTCACACATTAAGATCAATTTTCCTCAGATTTAGTAACAGCAAAACTGTCTCCCTATGAATGATTTTATCTCCTTTTTCTGGTGCTAAGTTTAATATATGTAAAAAGATCTTAATGGCTATCAAACAACCTAGATCTGACAATAAGACAAGGAAAAGACAAAACTTGATTAGTAAGTGACCTGAAGAACTACCTAAACATTTTTCATCTTGGAATGTCTTGGCATTTATGCTAAAAGATAGATTCTTTTTAAGTTGTCAGAAGGAGAACAGCATTGGGAGTGGAGTTGAATTGAAAAAAAATAATCAAACTACTGCTGGCAGAGGAGAAGTGAATTTCATCTGCCAAAAGCAGTGAAATGAAAAACAGAAACAGAGACAGCAGTTCAAAATTATACTATTTTCACCTAGACCACAGGGAAAAATCAAACTCACACAAACAAAGTGCAGTATCAGCTGAAGGGCAAAATCAGAACCCAAACTTTTTATACTGTGGAGAAATTCATTTTGCTTAGTCTGTAAATCAAAAATAGCCTAGTGCTATAAACACCTTGTAAGAGAAAGCTTAATAAAGATACATAAATAATTAAATGCCTACATAGGAATTTTTAAACCAAGAAAAGAGAAAAAGGATCTTTTTTTACACTGGAAAAAATACAAAAGGGACAAAATTTCTAAAAGGAATAAAGCTGAATCTTATAAATGAAGGATAATAGTACAAAATACAAAGACTTATATTTATCAGCCTTAGTTGTTTGGGGTTGTTTTTGGTTTTTTCCAAGAACTAAAACAGAACTGTAGAGGAAAAGGGGGGAAAAAAAAAAATAAATTGCAGAACGCCACTACTCCAGAAAGCCTCTTAATTTAAATGAGTTCTAGGATTGCTCTACTGTGAGGTTACATGGAAAACTGTGCCAGCACAGGACAGAGGCAGGCAGTGCAGCCCTGTTTGTTGGAGGCAGGGCCAGTTTAAGGGGCTTAAAAATCTACAACTTTTGCTAAGTTTTATTCTTCCTTTCCCTCCTACAGTACTTTCATCTTTCTCTTTTGCTTCATCCCAAGACAGCCCGGCCTTTTCTCTAACCTCTCCACCTATTTCAATAACACTATTTTGTCTCATCAGTATTTTTATGTACTCACAAGATAAGCTCACTACAGATATTTGTAAAACTAATTTCTACTCACTCTTTCTGCCCACTGTCCAGTCTACTTCCAGTTTTTCTGTACCTGTGTGTCACCTCAGGGACAGACAATCTCAGAGACTATTATTGTTTGTACACTATGTAGCACTGCAGACCAGGTAAATTAATTTCATGTACATGTGGACTGTGCTATATTACAATGAAGTAATGGATGTCAGTGATGATGATACTACTACCATTAGTTGTTCCACACTTGGTTTGTTTAATGTTATGAATATTTCACATTAAGCACTAAACAACTTTCATGTAACTGGCTCTCCTTTAAGTGAAGAAGCCACAGTACAAGTTCTGGATATACTTGTATGTATTGTAGTAAGAACTTGTCCCTGAAAGATTTTTAGTCATTCATATTTTAATCTGTAAGAAACTGTCAGCAGTAGTTAAGCTGTTTCCCACTGTGACTTTGTTCTTTTGTTTAACACATAGATGGTGGTAGATAACCTCACATTAAACTGTCTACTCAAAAGCAAAGTGTATTATTTTCAACATCACACTCGTCTTCAGTCTATCCAGGCATATGAGGATAACCAAAGTCCAAAAATCTTCCCATCACTCCCAGACAAAGAGACTATGCAAAGAACAGAGAGATAATCCTAAAACAATTTTTCTGGTGAAGTAAAACCTTAGCAAAGTTTGCAATTTTTAAGCAACAGTATGAAGAGGACTCAGAGCAGAAGATAACTGCTCCTACCTGTTGCACAATGGTTGTGAGTTCCAGGCACAGTTGAACAATGTTGTTTTTCAACAGTGAGTATTCTGTCACACTGACAAATGGAGACCTGTGACAAAGGAAGGACAGGTTTAGACAGCATTAAGGATTATAAGTCCTGTTTACAGTATAAGCAGATATATGTAATATAGAGATCAGTTCTACACCATGGAAATGTGAAACTTCTAATCGTGACAATCTCCATCAGCAAGTTGCACAACTTTTGTGAAATATGCCTTTGAAACAAGAAATAAAGCAGAAACTTATTGTTCTTGTGCAAAGTGGAAATAGAAGCTTCCAAATAATTGTAAGTAGCCCAGATTTCCTTTGTACGGCTCATTAAAAAGACAGCATCCATGGCATGACAACACTTTTCAGCAACAGTTAACACCTTAATTCAGAGAGCAAAGTAAAGCTTACTTAGTCACTAACAGCTTCCTGCACGCTTAGATTTTCTTCAGACTTTCCAAATTCTATCTGAATCCGACCCCATTTGAATTTATACGAACTGACAAGGTCATAGCCCGAGAGAATATGACTGCAGGCATTAGGTTAGGAAGATGTCACCGGAATTATACAAATCTTGTAAAGAAGGGTGATTCACTCTCACTGTGATTTCTGAGGTGCCATTTATGCATTCAAGAGCATTCAGATTCAAGATAAAGCTATCTGTTGCTATAACACCAAAGAAAAAGAAACAGAACACAAATACTCTGACACTATTTTACGTTTTGGTCTCTGTCTTTCCACAGTCAATATTTTAATTATATTTATTCAGAGAGATACTTTTAATCAAACTTTCACTTCATAAATGGAAGAAAAGAAGCGGTTGGTTGTTGACCATTAACCAACACCACAACTGTACTTAATACCTCAGTCCCACTACTGATAAAAACTCTATTAAGAAAATTTAATTTTCAAATTGAGCAAGTACTATAATTTATTTTTAATATTCTTAATTTATTTGATCAACTCCAGCTTTTTTGTGTCTTTTTGATGGCTGAAGGACAGTTCAAACACCACAATCTTTTCTTCCTTACCCTTCTTTCTTAAATTACCAACGATGTTACCACTTGTGGCAGTGAGATGCCAACTTGGAATAGCACAAAAGTATTCATTTCACACAAAATACTATCAGACTGAAAAGAATCAGAGAAAAAAAAATCTGAGAAAAATTTAACATCTTCCTGAAAGAAAAGGGTACTACCTTTTGGCTCCAATATTTGAGAAATTTGCAAAAGAAAATTTAGAGCCAGAATTCCAGAACTCCTGCCATTTAATATTAAAATAAAAAGGTACAAGAGAAAAAGAAAGAACAAATAGAAAACAACCCAAAGAATTATTCTCGTGCATAAAGGATCAAGGAATATTAAGTTACCTGTCCAGCCAGGCTAGTAAGTTCTTGGCAGCACCAATCAGGTCAACTACAGAGGTAAGAAAATCATTTGGCAGTCGTCTGGAGGCCCTGCCATCATAATGGCCACTCCTCCTTCTACCCGTTATAAAGTTCTGAAGGTTTTTTGCTGAGGCATTCAGCTTGTGAGACAGAGTTCTCAGGTTTTCAGTCTCCAAACCATAATTCTGAGGGGAAAGAAGAAGATACAAGAGTTCTCAGGTTTTCAGTCTCCAAACCATAATTCTGAGGGGAAAGCAGAAGATATACAATTAAGTGAAATAGTGTATTCAGCTGTGTGAACAGAACTGTGAGGTTAAACATTCCGAATGGTATTGGCTGAAAAGATAGGATAGTTAGGAACACCTGGTGTTAGACTAAGCAAGAGGCTACTTTGTTTAGAACATCCAGGATGCATCCATCCACCTCATTAGCATGACAGCTTCTGCTGTCACCAACACTCCCAATCCTGGAGTCCCCAGTCCCATTGGTCCAACTAAGTCACTGAGGGGATAGCAAAAAAAAAAATTAAATCCCCATATGCTGGGTCTCAAGGTCTTTCCCATTTTTAAGAAGTGAAGATGAGTCAGTCCACTATCCTCCACTTGCCATGGTTCAGGGTTAACCAAACATTGAGTGTACTTGTTACCTCTGAGGGCAGGTCTTCAGCAGTCTCTGCACCCAATCTCACTAGTGTTCCTCTACTAACTCGTAATACCTTAGCCTTAGCAGAACTTCCCTTTTCCTTACGCTGTGAATAAGGTACAAAATCTAACATGGCCTTAGTGACAGGGTTTTACAGGAAAATTCCTTCCTGGACCCTGCTATTGTTGGTGAGCAGCTGTCCCATATGTAATACAATATGGAAACAGTCACATCGGGTCAGAGCAGAGACGTGGTGCTCCTGTTTCCAATGACTGCATAGGGAAGAGCCTGAGAAAAGAGCAGGCATGTAGGAACAGCTGTTAGTGGTTCAGAGACTTCAGCCAGTGACAGTTCTTAAAGGATTTTCTTCCATTGATCTAAATCTGATGAAGTTGGTGTGTGTGTGTGTGAATATAAGTTTTCCAAACACAAGTCCCTTTCCCCTTTATCCACACTTCCTCATCTGTGTTTCTGTCCTTTTATCACCAAGTCAATTCCCCACTTAGACCCAGGTAACAAGCACAAAGACATCTCAGCTCAAATACATTAAGTAATTCACTCAAATTAACATAGAAAGTCTCAAACACACTGAATTAAACCCAGATTTCTTGCTGCCACAACAAGATGTAGCATGTGAAAGAATTTAATGAGCCTTTAAAGAAAATCAACTTTCAGAATTTGAATTGATGACCCACTATTAATTTCAACTATGCATATGTTACAGAGCATGATTGATCATCAGTTATGAGATGTTACTTTTTCTGCCTAAACTTCTTCCTCAAACAATACACAATCTTGATGGATCCTAATATAAATATTTGTACTAGAAATAATAATTCCAACACCAAAAAAGGAAAATGTATTAACCAATAACAAGCTTGTGAAGTGGGATTGTATGGAAGTCAAACAAAATACAAACACTGAGAACTGAACAGAAAATATGTTTGAGGAAATCCACTAGTGAGCAAGTTCTTAGATTTATCTTAAAGTTTATTAATTAACACGCTGATGGCAACCACAATTAATGTCAATATAAAATTTAAAATATATCAAAGCATAGATAAAATATGTCCATGAAGATAATCAGGAGATGAAAGGAAATGTTTCAGCACAGTAAAAGTGCTGATGCAAGTTAGCGGTTTAGCTGAGACTTAGCAAGACACAGTAAAGGGAAAAAGATAAAAATATTACAAAAATGACAGTGAATCAATATCTCCACAGAAGACAGAGCCATTGCATTGCTCTAAATTTAAGCTTGCCTCAATTCCAAGATCTTAATTTTTAAATGAAACAACTGTAACTAACTATAAATTGGGAAAAAAAATGGTTAAACATAATCCTTGAAAGTATCACCTCTAAGCACCTCATCCTAATTTTCAGCTCACAAGCTCGTGTCAACAGCACAGGTTTCTCTCTCCACTGCTACCTCCTGCACAATCTGTCTGCCAGGCTGAAGCTCTGATACCACGAAGCCCCACAAGCCCCACTGTGGCAGCACACTAGAAATCTACTGAAGAAACCTACAGCCTAGTCAGCAACCAAGGTGATGGGATAGAAAAGAGATTGTTCCAGAGGAGAAAAGGGCAAACAGGTGGGTACACACCCAAATTTGAACCACATTGACTATGATTCAGTGAACATGCTTGAAAACCCAGAGGGAAGAGTCACAGTTTATGATAATGAGTGAGTAGGTGGGTAGGCTTGTTCTGCATACATGACACCGCAAGTATCCAGATCTCTTCTAATTCCTGTAGGCATCTCATCTGCATGATGCCAACTGAGATAGCTTCAAACCTGCCAGACAAAATCATTATCACAGCTACCATAGCAGACTTCAGTTTTCACAGCCGTACATTCTGCTCTCACTGTGTTAAATACGTGCTGTTATTGGGAGACACACCAGAGAAATGATGCTCCTGAGCCTGTAAAATTCTATCTCCTGGCAGGTGATTTCTTCCTTGCACAGTAAAACCGAGATATAATTTCTGGTTTAAAAAGAAAGAAAAGATAAAACCTCTAAAAGGGACAAGAGGGTACCATTAGCATAGGCAGGATTATTTTTCACACCAGCATGGTTTGCTCCATTCTCTGGTTTTGTTTCATGATTCTTAAGGTTGTTGCAATGTCATTTTCACCAAATTACACTGTTAGTGAAAATGGCCGTCCAGGTTTAGAGAATGAAAACTGACTATTAAAATAACCCCAAATGCTGTCTGTCTGCAAGAATGCCACAGCCATCCAGTCTGTCAAATTGTCATGAAACCTGGCTCATGACACTGCTTAGAGAGAAGAGAAAGCAGACTGAAGCTGACTACACTCCATTTCAGTAACGGGCCTGACAGGTACATTGCAGAAAGGGTAACTGCTGGAAGAAAGGGACAAACAGCAAATCTTCAACACAAAGATGGGACTGGTAAATCTATTAAAAGTTTACTCAAGATTCTTCACATAAAAACTGTTCAAACAGTAAGAAATTCTGCACATTCACCCAGTGTAATATATGATAGCGTTATTGCCTTCACACACACACGAGTTACACAGAGATTAACCTGCTTGTTCCGTGACAGACTGCTTCAGTAGCATATTTCAGAGCTGGTTGGAGCTCAGCAATTCCTGATGCCCTTTTCAATGACAGGAGTTGGAAAGAAGGATTCCAAAATGTAGAAATTAAATGCAAATACAAAATCAGAGCCAGACAAGCTTTTATGGAAGAATATCAACAGCAACAATGCCAAGATGAACCCGTGCTCAGTGACACTTGTTACCGAGACGTACAACTGACTTTGGGAGTTTGCCTGCTGTCCATAAACCACAATTTTCAATTTTAGCCATTTCATTCAAACTATCAGGAAGGATTCCTGCCACCCCCTTAGTTCCCCTCTCCTGTTCAGTTTGAGATGCCTGTTTCAGTGTTCCTAGTGAGCAGGGTTATTGTAGGATGGCAATAGGGAAGAGACAGGACAAATTGCCTCCAGGGCTTTTGCAGCTGATTTTTTTTTTGAAGTACAGAAAAAACAGGTGGCTGATGTCAGAAGGGCTACAATTCAGGAGACAGGAGAGAATACCAGGGGTTTTTTTTTAAAAAAACCCCCTGAAATAGACTGTTGTTTTTACTAGTGCAGAGTATAAGATATGATATAAAAGGGAAGTTGTTGAATATTCCATAGAGTTAATAATGCATATGGTAAATTAGAAAATAGGAAATCTGCTTCCAAACAGATATTTATTCCTTTTTATGTCATAAATACAAAATACAGAAATAGCTAAATACACTATGACAATGAACCCCCCCTCTGTGTCTGCATCACAACTCCAGCTAAAAACTTTGCTTATTTTGTACATATATTCTGGTTCCATTTGAAAAAGATAATGGGAAAACTGAGCAATTTTTTAATCCATCTGACAATATAACATCTGTGTTTTTACATATTCAAAGTGGAGTAAAACAAATCTCCAGGTATGGCCTCGGGTGTTTTCATATCTTATTGCATATTGCAAATTGGTATTTTATGCTAATAAAACTATCTGTAAAAACTTTAGCTACCAAGATAAAACAGGCCAAATTATTGTAGCAAACATTAAGATAAAAAATAGCAAGTACAATGGAAAAAGTGATAAGTGCTAGTCAATTTTTTGTATACGCTAACATCTGAAGATCAAAAGCGAAGCAAGAAATACCTGCAATATAAGAGGAGTTCATTTATTCTGTGAAAAACAAAATCAATATTATAAACTTCTTAAAGGTACTAATATAATGAAATTGTTTTGCTATAATGTGACATACAGAGGTAAAAAAATGTACACACATTGAAATTTATTTGACAGAGGGTATAATTTTAGCTAAATAGTTTATATTGCATAAGCAATTATTTTAACTTACATTAAAAATAGATTTATTTTTAATTATAGTTTTTCTTGATGTTGTCATTCATATAAATAGTCAGTGTAATATATGCATAAATACATATAAACACATAGAGGCATATACAGCTTTTTCTGCAGGTGATATTTTGAGAATGTTACAACTTTTCACTGAACTATAAGGTTCAGAGAAATAAAAGTGGGGAGCAGCAGATCTGATTGAGGTGATTAAAGGAAACAACCCTGCCCGAAATTCAAGCATCTTACATGAAATTCACTATGTTAAAGCATTTAAAATGCCACAACCTAAATACTGTGCTACACTCCCATTTTTATGTTTCATGCACAAGCTTAAGGAATCCCCCATGTTCTCAGCACAGGCTATGGCAGCCTTAGCTGTGGGTCTTGGCTTCAGACAAGAGCAGCAACAGCTCAGGACCATGAATGGAGTCACCTGATAGATGTGACACCGCTGTCCCTGTGGGTGCCACCCAAATGTGCTCAGCACAGTGGGCTGCTCCCCTGCTCCCCTTCCAGCCCACCCTAGAAGCAGCACATCTAGACCCTTGGCACACTCCTCAGGGCTCAGCTTCCCAGTTGCTTTAAGTTGATGTACTCGCAAAATGCCACAAGAAAGATGCTGCCATGCCCTCTCCCGAGCCTCAGCACCATTGTATAACGA